CTCTATTAAAGGGAGGAGATGGGAGCTGAAATGGCTGATTCATACTGGAAAAATTGGTCAAATAAATAAGCGATAATGTGAAATAGAGCTAATCTAGTAGAGTCCAAGAAAACAAAGCAAAGAATTAGACATCAGCACAATAGTTAGCTTATAACGTTTAAAACTAACTGATTTCAGCTGGAGGAACCATGTCTACATTAGTATAAAACATGTATGTACATGTCAACATAAAAAACAGGCACACCTGCTCCGAATGAGGCGTGTAGGCCAAGCCGTCCGAAAACTACATTTCCCTCGAGCCTTTGCGAGCTGTAGTTTGACAACCAGCCAATCCGCGCCATGACAGGCCGGCACGTGACCTAGAGTGAGTTCCTGTTGTAGCTTGAGGGAAACAGGCCGACTTTCAGCCACGGGAGAATCGCAATTTGCGGGTAAGTCGAGACATCTGGCCGGAACGAGGTCACCTGAGTATATATGAAGTGTTATTCGGAGGGCGTTGTCGCAGGTTTCCGCGCTCTGTTAATCAGGAACGCGTGAATCTCGGGGGGAACGAGCTGTCTTCCCGTGTAGGCCTGCTCTATTTCCTGGTGCACATCTGTGTCTGTTGGAATGGCTGAGTTAAAAAAGTTCATTTAAGGCGTTTCGGCGTAGCTTTGTCTGTTTCTCACTCCGCTTCCTGCAGTGCTCAGGTTTTTCCATGAACGCTTCCCAGCTGTGGCGCTGAATTGTAAAAAGACTGGAAGCCACACTTTGCCTGTGCTGGGAATATTTGAGCTGGTTTCGGGCACCGAAAGCGGCTCCTTGTGTGTTGTTCTGTTTCACAGCAGCTGACCAAGGCAGGAGTGAAAGCAGGTTTATTAACCCGTTATTACGCGACAATGCTGCTTCATGTCGCCCTGCTCCCACATAAAACAAAACACTTGCAGATGCAGACTGCTTTTACTAAGTAAAATGCTTCTGTTGGTTATGTTAATCATCATTAGTTGCCGAGTTTCTAAAAAGTCAGAAGCAGCTTCAGTGGTGAACACGTTGGCACATCACGCGTGGATTTAACAGCTTTGTGCACAGAAATCATTGGAGGAGAAACATGGCTGTAGATCTAAACGAGCAGCCATATTTAGACATAGAAACTTTGCTGTTGTGACTGTGGGCTCGACCTACTGCGCGGCCTCTGTTTAGAGGGATCACTGC